GACAAACTGGATAATGATAACGTGTAACTCTCGTTACTTATATAGAACTACACCAAATACAATAACCAGGACAATAGCGCAACAAAATAATAATATACTCAGTGGCGGAACTATCCTTCCGAATCAGTGGCGGAACTAGAAAAAAGGGCCACCCCGCAACATTTTTTTAGGCCCCCTCATATATATATATATATATATATATATATATATATATATATATATATATATATATATATATATATATATATATATATATATACCTAGACCTAGACCTAGATCTAGACTTTAGACCTAGACCTAGACCTAGACCTAGACCTAGACCTAGACCTAGACCTAGACCTAGACCTAGACCTAGACCTAGACCTAGACCTAGACCTAGACCTAGACCTAGACCTAGACCTAGACCTAGACCTAGACCTAGACCTAGACCTAGACCTAGACCTAGACCTAGACCTAGACCTAGACCTAGACCTAGACCTAGACCTAGACCTAGACCTAGACCTAGACCTAGACCTAGACCTAGACCTAGACCTAGACCTAGACCTAGACCTAGACCTAGACCTAGACCTAGACCTAGACCTAGACCTAGACCTAGACCTAGACCTAGACCTAGACCTAGACCTAGACCTAGACCTAGACCTAGACCTAGACCTAGACCTAGACCTAGACCTAGACCTAGACCTAGACCTAGACCTAGACCTAGACCTAGACCTAGACCTAGACCTAGACCTAGACCTAGACCTAGACCTAGACCTAGACCTAGACCTAGACCTAGACCTAGACCTAGACCTAGACCTAGACCTAGACCTAGACCTAGACCTAGACCTAGACCTAGACCTAGACCTAGACCTAGACCTAGACCTAGACCTAGACCTAGACCTAGACCTAGACCTAGACCTAGACCTAGACCTAGACCTAGACCTAGACCTAGACCTAGACCTAGACCTAGACCTAGACCTAGACCTAGACCTAGACCTACAACGTACATACAGCGTTTTACAATATTGTGTATGTGTGTTACCAAAAAAGGTTGTGTGAGTGTGTATGCGTGTGTGTGTGTGTGTGTAGTCGCGAGAAGATTCTAATGAAGGCAACGTGGCAACTCACAATTGCAAAGATTTTCGCTCAATTAGATTTGCAAGCTGTGCATCGTTATTGTCTGTCAGATAACCAATTCAGTAAAGAATTTTTAATTTTAAATTTCACGTGTTAGTCAAGGTGACCAAATATTTAATGCAGAGCGCATTTAATCTGTGTGTATAGTGTGTGTGTGTGTGGTGTGTGTGTAGTGTGTGTGTGTGTGTGTGTGATTAGACGGAACTATCCTTCCGAATCAGTGGCGGAACTAGAAAAAAAGGGCCACCCCGCAACATTTTTTAGGCCCCCTCATATATATTAATACTAATAGTTTCGCTGTCTGTCTATCTATCTATCTATCTGACAAGAACGCTCTAGAGAAAACACAAGGAAAATAAAAACATGCATAGTAATTCGAAAAACGAAGTATGACGTCGACACATTTAGCACAGAGTAGAAAATAATCTCAAGCCGGATAGTGCACACAGTAATATGACGTCATTGATTATCGAGTAAACATTGAATAACAAGGAAATGTTGTCTAATCTAAGTGGTTTGCTTGAAGAGTTTCTTTCATACAATTCTTAGGGTAGGGGCGAAGCCCCACCCCCCGCGTAAGAACGTCTGAGCCCCCCCCCCCCCTCCCCAACTCAAAACAAATTTCTTCATCGATACTCTATAATAAAATTACCGCCTAATTAATGTGTCTAATCTAAAAAGTGGTTTTCTTGCAATTTCTTTAATGCAATTCTTCGGGTAGTGGCTAAGCGTGACACCAGTGTTTCTTTCAGACATTTTCCTCCCCGGAGAGGGGTGGGTGTACTTGAAATTTTCGGGGGCGGGGGTAGAATTTTCGGGGAGGGGGCGGACACTGGAAAAAGTATATAATTATATTTCGTTGAATGGGACGGTAGACATGTTTTTTTTTTTGGGGGGGGGGGTGGGGGGGGGGTGGGGGGGTGGGGGGGTGGTGGTGTGTGTGTGGGTGATGGGGGGTTGGGGGGGGGGTGGTGTGTGTGTGGGGGGTTGGGGGGGTGTGTGGGGGGGATGGGGTTGTTTTAGTTTAGAGAAAAGAGACAGCACTATCAGCCTAGCGCCCGTTGTATCCTTCCTCAACGGGCCATTTTTCTCGTATATATATATATATATATATATATATATATATATATATATATATATATATATATATATATATATATATATATATATATATATATATATATATATATATATATATATATATATATATATGTCTATATATATATATATATATATATATATATATATATATATATATATATATATATGTCTATATATATATATATATATATATATATATATATATATATATATATATATATATATATATATATATATATATATATATAATCACAAAATACGAAGAGAAGATATTCGCTGCTGGCTTGTTCGGGATTTGAAAAACATCAATTAGAAAAATTAAATGTAATGCGTGTAAGTGCATTAGTTTTTTTTTTTTTTTTGCCGTTTGGCGTTTAATATTGTTCCTTCCATATATATAATAAAAATGTCACATTTCCTTTATTTCCTTTTTTTTAAATTCTATATTCAGCTTTCTCATTCTTATAAATTTATCAAAATTTTACAGCCTCAGATTTGTTTGTTCGCTCATATTATTTTATGAACATCCAGAGTTTCTTCCAGGTGTGATCATCACAAAAATAGAGGTGAGGCGGGAGGTAAAAATCGTCAATGTACTAAAAGGTATCCAATCTTATTCTAACCGTATATTCTCCCTAAAAAATAAAACATATCATTGCCTGAAGATTAGTTAATGATGATAGTTGGAAGTTTTCTATGCTGTGTGGGCCGTGTTTGGTTCTCCTAAACTTAATCGGTTCCCGGCATGCTTGTAATAACCAATTTGATTCAACAAAAAGACAAACAGTAACGCAAATTCGAACTTAGCTCTCATGTACATGTTGTTTTTAAAGAAAAAATGGTTTATTGTTTTCCTTTTTAGTACATTTTTGTTTGTTTCAAAATTGTATAAGGGAGACTACAATACTTGTATTCTAATATTGGGGTCATCCCCCCCTCCGTCACACATCGTCACAAAAAGCTAGACCTCCCCCCCCCCTAAAATGACGTCACACCACAGCCTACAACCCCCCTCGAAACTGCAGTTCAATTTTTTTAAACATCGATATTTTCCAAAACTCTTGTCTGAACTATGTCAAAATAGAGTATTTTAACCAATTCCTTATGCAATTTATTACAACAGCTTTCTATGACGTCTAAAATTCTTTTCCTAACATTGCTTTTTTGTAATGCCAAAGTGTGACGTCACACCAACTGAACCCCCCCCCCCCTCCCCCTCATCACACAACGTTACAAAATTACGGACCTCCCTTTCCCCCCTACGAATGTGACGTCATTTATGGACGATCCATTAAACCAGAAAATTTTAAATCTAACAGATGATGTTTTAATTTGTAACGTTTACCCTACCACATTATAAATGCTATTGCAATAGTATGGAATTGCATAAGTGCAAATTGTATAATCAGAAACAATACGTTTCATTTAATGATATTAAATTAAAAAGCATGTGTAAACGTTGTTAATATTAAAATGCGTGTTTAAAATGTGAAAACTTACCAAGGCAGGTAGACTTGTGATCATTGGTTGACAAACATAGTAGAACTGTGATTCAATTAAAAAATGTGCATACACCTTACACTAACAGCGCTTCCGTGATGTCATCTTAATTAACCAATCTAATTTAGACGAAATCCGTTGTTAAAGAACTACAATTTATATTAAGACAAAACATACACTTGTTTTATTATATGTATAGGATAGAGTTTTTATTTATTTATTCTGTAAGGAAGACAATGCAAATTTGGATCATGTAAATTTTAAAAAAATCAATTTTTTTTAAACTCACAATTAATTTAAAACTTAACATGATTATTTATAGAATATTTTAATTTATAAAATTGTTTCTGAAATATTATATTTCAATGGTGTTTTATGGCTAAAATGTGTATGCATTTGCAAAGTTTTAAAGCAACATTTTTATTTTTTGTAATTTTTAAAGACAAGCAAATAAAGCTACAGCGACATGGTTAGCGTGATCTCCAGTTATGTAGTTTTTTAAAACGTTTATTTCTATCGTGTGCAAAAATAATTTTCGTAGCGATGAACTCTACAATACCCAACTCATTTATTAAAAAAACAAACAAGCACATTAGAGAGTTCATTTTCAAAAATACGATTACAAACAGTAGCCACAAAACCTTAATACAAAATAAATTAAACGGAGGTATAGGGCTACACGACATTCAAACTAAAATAAACACCTTCCGATTAAAACACCTGGATAGTGCATGAGGTGGAAAAAATATTACAATAATGTGTACTTATACAATCATGATTTTGTGTTTGATTTTTTCAAATTACCTTACTTTATTTAAATACTAAGTTATTCGAATGTTTCTGTCAATATCACTTGACAGCAACGCTGGTATTTTATGTGAAAATCAACAAAGACAACGTTTTTATGTATACGTTGTATTTATGTAGCAATAAGTTTGTTACACTGTGTAACAACAAACTTATTACCCCCCTCCACCCATCCATACAAGTAGCTTAACTTATGTAAAAATAAACGATCTCTCGGTTACCATCAACTTAATTAAATCTTATCTTTGTTCTTTTCAACTGAGTTAGAAGAGATATTCTATTTCTCATTCACTTATGTCAGAATTTTACAGCCTCAGATTAATCTTTTCGCTCATAATATTTTGAGGCAGATGTATGCACATCAGATACAGGTCAGCTAGTTAAAAACAATTATTTAGCGAAAGCTCTCTTCAGAGATCACAGTATTGTTTAATTTGTTAAATTACATATCTTTGAAATCTACATGAAATAAGTAT